AATCCAGAGCTCACCTGTGAAGTTCCCACTGATCACATACGGGATGATGCCGTCCGGCCACACTCTCTCAGGTCTGGATGTGGCCGCTCTCCTCCTCCGACGGAGACTCTGTCTGTCTGTGGCTCTCTTACTCCTGATGCTCTCACTGGAGCTGTTAACTGTGCAGAAAATGAGTCTGGATTGAGTATATCCCTTTATTTGAACACCCCAAACAGTCATAAGAATAATTCAAAGGTCAGTAAATTAATGATATTTGATACCTGAGTCTGTGTTGTTGGTCTGGACAGTGGGCGTTGCACCATCACTGCTGAGGGCTCTGAACATGCGGAGGTCATCTTCATCAAGGGCGATATCTCCCAAAAAGGCAGCTGGGGCAAAAAGATGACCACTCAGATACATTGATTTTCCCATCTAAGCTCTAAGCATATTTCCCAAATATCATATTATTTCTTTAATTCGGAGTAGTGTTATCTTTAAGTAATGTGGAGAAAACTAAACTTTAGAAAATTACCTATTTCTCACACTGTGTCATTCAGTAAATCCAAACAAAGGTTTGAGCGGTGGGTTTAATCATTTCTTCATCACAGACAGAACCTGACTAAGGATATTTTTAAAACTCATCTCTGATTCTCAGTTCTTTTTCTTGCTTCAAAAAGCAGCCAAACCTCACTGCATGCATTACTGTGTCTGATATCTCTGTCCTGAGAAGAGGTCTAAACTGACTCCATATGTCTGTTTGATCAGCAAACACTCCTCCTGAGCACACACACTGAAACATATTGGAGGACTGTCTCTGTCATTTCAAAGAATGAAGATGTGAACTGAATACCTCATAGCATTGTGACTACACTTTGCTGGACTTGTACTCCAATGGCAAAACAACAACCATAAAGAACTCTTGTAAGAGGTTCATATATTCATTTATGGCCTTGAGATTAAGTCTGTAGAGTTGTGTGTTTCTCAAAGTTACAAAACTAGGTTGTGGTAAAAAGCCTTAGTCAATAAGCAGAGATATGTTTTCATAATTATACCCAGCAACTCATTAAGTGAGGAGTGAAGTCCTTTACTGTACATCGGAGCAAAGAGCTTTGCAGGCTTGATAAGATGAAGAACTGCATCTTCCACACCTTCAAAGACTCAACATCACTTTCTACCAATCGAATTATGATTAGAGGAAACTCTTCTAAATTGAATCACTTGTGACCAACCATGTAAATCAGGATGACCCACAGAGCATTCCATGAACAATGTTTGTTTTGTGTGTGTTTGGTTTAGCAGCATGGATTCCCCAAACATTACTCTTATCTTTTGTACGTGTCCCAGATATCAGGTGTGACAGCATTATAACGTCAGCCCCAGGCTTAATGTTTTACTACGCCTAAAAATGCTAGGTATGGAAAAGTGTTCTTGCATAACAGCATAAGATAAAAAAAGGTGAACGTGTTAAAGAGTTGCAGGTTGGCAGAAAAAAAACAAGCAAGTGTAAAAAACCAAACAAGCCAAAAGAAGGAATGATTCATGTCTGGACTTAAGTTTGGTTGAAAGCAGGAAAACCTTCAACTTCAGCGACAAAAACACAAAGTTGAACCACAAGACACAAAACATTACAAACACACTAGCCAATACTGAAGTCCAAATTAGCTTTCAGTTACTGACAAACACACAACTAAATCCAGGCTTCAAAGTGTCTATTGTGAAACCTAATTAGAGGAATCCCACACACATCTGACCATGTTTTCGGTTCCCTCACATTTTGCTTCCATTATAATGACCTCCTTCATACAACAGTATCTCATGTTTTACTAGTCGGGCAGAAAAGCTTAGAAAAGTTGCTCCCATTAAATACCTCATTTAGCTGTGTGATGTAACCACCTTTGAAAGTCCAAATGAAAAGACATAGCAGGCCCTGTGTCGGCCTTTTGAAGTGAATTCACTCATGCAAAGGGTGACTGTAAATGACTGTCACCCCTGCAGTGTGCACCCCATACCCTGAAGCCAGAGGGATTTCACCGGCGTCCTGCCGAGGACAGCGCTGGCACGGCCTCAATGACCCCCAGTCTCCAGGCAACTGCCTCGGAGAAGAAGAGTGGTGTGTTGTGGAAGTTTCAGAAGTCACAAGTGAAAAGGGACCACAACCAGCTGGGGGCCCGCTAATAAGCAAAGTGATCTTTTGGCTTGTTATACAATGGAATAAAGTTGCATATTCTTTAACTCTACAGAAAGCTAATTGCAATGGTATTAAAGACGGGTTTATCAAATCAGACACCTCATCCTGACCTCTATTTCTGAATAGTGTTATGGTATGCTTTATTGAATAGTTCTTCTTGTTTTTTAAACACAATGTCACTAAAAACATTTTCTCTATTACTGCACCCGAGTACAACTCTGAGGTACTTCACTTGTGTACTTCCATTTTAACTTATGAGATACTTGTTCTCCACGAATATTGAGACAAATAGCTTACGTTTTCTTCCACTATATGTACCTGAAAGCTTTGTTACAATACTGTAAACTATAAAGCTATGCCACAGATGAAACTTCAGCAAAGTTGAAATGTTTTTCACTAAAACTGTCATATAAAATGATATAAAAGGGCCCTTTCAGTCATCTAACTAATCAATTTATTTATTAGACCGTATTTATTTTAAATACAGGACTTTTTCCTTGTAATGGAGTATTTTTATGTTGTGGCATTAGTTCTTCCAACACTACCAGACACTTGAACAATATAGCTGTTGCATTAGGCTGATTTGTCTCAGAGATTGCTACTTGTTTTACTTTAGACCAACCCTTAAAATATCTAGATTGTAAGTCAAGAGTAAGTTATATACAAACATCTTCAAATGACATTTATTTTACTTATATTGTGGGAATTAGTGCTTTTACTCTAACAACTCATGCAGGTTAACACTAAATTGTTATCTCATTGATACATTACTGACAATATATGGAAGGATTTTTTCTTTTGCATTTAAATATTTGTATACCTAAATGTTATCCTACATTTTTCTATACATTTACATCAACATCATTAATAGCTACATTTAACTTTGAGATGTCTGAGCTCAATGTGTTTATGGCCTATAGAGGCTACGTGTATTGGAACAACACACAGAACATAATACTGCATACACCAAAAGGGAATGCATAGGATCAATATATTTGCAGACGAGGTAAAATTGACTGTACCAGCTTTACAGGGATCCTTGTAGTCGATTACATCACCGAGGTGGGTAACATGAGGGTCCACCGCCTGCCAGTCAGCCGCCAGAGAAACGCGCAGACTGCACAGCAGCAGACACAGAAACGCTGGAGCGACTTCCATTATGTACCATCAAATGTCTACAACAGGTAAAATTAGTAAATGTGGGCAGAGACAATCGCTCAAACTAAAGTTCCTCGACAGCAGCAGCGGTGTGATTTCAGGAACACAGCGCTGTTTCCTCACGGCTCCATGCTGCTGCAGTGATCCGCTGCCATACAGCACCGAGAGAGCACAGTGCAAAACAGCCATGCATCTGAACCAGAGGCACTTCACCTGCAGGCAGATGCGCTATGCACACTCACAATGTGGGACTAGCTACCAAACCTAACAATGATTCTCATGGCACTTAATCCTCTTTCTTTCTATCTTCTTATGTTCTTTCTTCTGTCTGTCTTTCTTTCTTAATTTGGAGGATCATTTTGGAGCAAAATTGCAGATGTATTGTCCAGCCAAAAAGTATTTACTGAACATTTTTTTAATTCCTGCAAACCTACAAGCTAACTTATTACAACATACTGTATATCCCAGGCTCTTTCTCAAGACAGGTTTATTCTGACCATTCTTGACCTTACACCACCTCCAGGTGACAGGGTCCACTCCACACACACCTACTGTACTTTGTTAAGACAATGTGTTAAGACAATGTGTTAAGCGGATTTAAAAAAGCGAGCAAAATAAAGGTAGGGAACCACTTACTGAGTGTGATGAGTTTTTAAAGTCCTCCTTATATCATCCCTCTCTGTGGATGTCACATTGACTCCTAACTATATCACCTTTTAGAAGATAACTCCAGTTTTTTGCTATTTTACCACTGCACAGTGCCATGCATATTCAGTTTCTACTATGAACTGTTTATGTTGGCAAAGACAGAAAGGACTACTGCCATATTTAATTTTTTACATTTTGGTGAAAGGCCCAGCTACTGTCACTTCAGTTTAGTTTTTAATTGATTCTTTTGAAGGTTGATGCAATACCCAGCTCTCAAAATAGCCTGTATTTTGAGAGCTGGGAGCTACAATTAAGGTAGAGACACTTTAAAAAACAAAACTACTTCAGGAGAGACAGCACATGTAATTATTCCAGTGTTTACGTTAAGTTCTTACCTTTAATACAGTTGACTAAACTGAAGATATTTCATATTTAACGACAATGATTTTTATAGTGCATTCGATTCGTTTACCACTAAAGATAAAAAGTAACTAATTACTCTTACTCGCCCAAGTCAAACATCTGAGTACCTCTCCCACCACTAAGTGGCACTGATGGGTAGGTAATGAATTGAGTAAATCTGCAAAAAAAGTGCATGCACATTTGTGTTAATTGCTGATAATTGCAAGAACAAATGTCTGGTAAAAGCTGCTAAAAAAAACAACAAAAAAAAACAGTTTAAAACGTTTTTTATGTGAACTCATGGCAGCATGTGTTAAAAAGATTGAGCGTGGAGAGAGAGCGAGCTGAAGTCTTGAGTCCCAGTAGCTCCACTCCTACTCTGCCAGCACACATCTGCTGCTGAGGAGATGGGACGCTGATCCAGAGAGGACTTTAATGCATGTGCAGCATGGCTGACTGCATGAGTGTGGCGTGAGAGGGAAAGTGGACCAACATTTCCAATCGGAGACTATTTACCTTCTTTTTGGCTGAGCTGGTGCCTTTTCTTGAACCCGGGGTGATGTCCCAGTGCTGGTGCAGGCAGGTCCTGCTCGGTGTGGAACTGGGCATGCTGGTGGTGGTCCTGGTGGTCAGCAGCACAGGGCAGAGCCAAGGCAGGAGGGAGGCCGGCTCGTCCTGCTACGGAGGGTTTGACCTCTACTTTGTTTTGGACAAGTGAGTGCTACTTTATTAAACTTTGAATGATCAGTGCATGACTCATCTGAGATTGTTCTGAAGACACAGGTGCAAACACGAGGCATTAATGGGCTACCTGCATGACAAATAGGAGCTACTGTAGTATAGTAAGAAGATTTGAAATGACAAGCAGCTTTAAGTCAAGTGAAAATACGACTGGTTTTGTGCTGGGGACAGACATAAAGAATAATGTGTGTGACTTGGAGTGCCAAAACAAAGCTCAGTTCTGTCAACACAGCTGGCACATGTGGATGTTTATTGTGAAATGTCCACTTTCGGATAACAAGTTTACTAAAGGTTAAATAAAAAGGCAGAAGAGTGAAACACTCCAGATCTGAGGATTTCTTGTGGTAAAGGATGTTTAGGGCATCAACCATAACCTCCAGCAGCTCCAATTTGCAACAAATATTCTCATTGTTGATCTGCAGATTGCTTTATTTATATATGGCTAATTTGATAGGGACATTCTCAAAATATATAGACTAACTGATAACCACCAGATGCAAGTATCATCGTGTAAATGGCTTCTGGATCAATCGATTAGTAATTCGGTTTATAAAATGTCAGAGAAATAATAAAAAATGCGTCTCATCCTCCCAGAGTCTCAGGTGGCTCCATGAAAATGTCTTCCATTGTTCTTCCAACAGTTAAAAACTTAAAGATAATCAGTTTAAAACCATAAAAAACAAAGAAAAGCAACACATCCTCACGTACAATCAGAAAACGGTAGGCACATTTGGCCTAACACTCTGTATATATCTCATAACAAAGGAACAGATCTCTAGAACCCTGTGAGTGCTGACACGAGGGCTAGGTAACCCTTTCCATGAAACTGAAGCCAGTGTGAAACTCCGCTCCTCAACAGGTCATTTCCAGTCATGTGTCAGTGTGTTGATGTTTAGTTGCCAGGTCATAGTAATGTCGTCCTGGATGGAAAATACAAACTTTACACAGTGATGAAGACTTTACAAAGTGCTGATGCTTTCACTTCAATGATAAAGTGCCCTGCAGGGAATCCTGATTCATTAGAAATATCAAAAACAATATATATATAACAAATCAGACCCTGTGGCAAATAAATACCCAATGAAATAAATGCAGGAGATAACACTATAAATCAGAAATAACTTTTTCCATTGGTACTTTCTGAAGCTCGGCCACGTTTCACCGACAGGATTCCACATTGAGTCCAGCTCTGCTTCAGTCTGCAGAACCCTTTCTCCATTAGAGCCAGATGTTCCAGAGATCCCAAGTTGTTGGCGGCACATCTGCACTGGGACTCACATCACAGGATAAATGAAAACATAACAAAGAGGGAGAAGAAGAGAAGCAGTGCAGAATGAGAAGACGTTTTACATATGTGTCTCGTAATTCTCTTTAATGGCTGACTTCCGTTTAAAAGTGTCTTCTTCTTATTGTTACTTGAGTCCGCAACATATTTTAAAATCGGGACTTGACATTAAGTTCAGCTCATTTGAAAATTGACGTGGCACTTCTCATTGTTTGTTATGCAAAGAAGCAGTGAAACCACATGGGGAAAAAGTGAAGCATCAGCACTTATAAGAAAATACAAAAGCTTAAAACTCACGGCTTCTCTGTGTGACGTTTCACAATGATAAAAACATACTGCAGATGAGCTAATGCATACATTACCAACAACAAGATAAACAAATATATTATAACAAAGCAGCTACAGCATAGTAAATCATTCAACTTAAAGTGGACCTATCATGCTATATTTGAATAATATATTGTAGGGCCATACCTATATAAGGTATATTTATACGTTTTCTTTTTCAAAATACCAAACATATCATGCATTTTAGCCATGCCTCATTTTGCTCTATTTTGCTCTCCTCCACCCTGTCTTTGCATGCGCTGCAGCTGACCACGCTCCCCTGCAAAGGAGGGGGCCGAGTTACGAGCGTCATGTTACCATGCTGTTACCATGCTGTTACCATGCTGTTACCATGCTGTTACCATGCCACGGCAACCTCTCATTCCCCTGATAGGTGGAGAGTTGGCCATATAGGCGGAGCTCCTCCGTCCTGACGTCAGAGAAATGTTCAAATCTGGATCAGTTTTTATCAGATCCGTTGCAGCCCCGTTTTTAGAGATTTGGGTATGGAGGAAAATAGAGAGGGTTGTGTTTTCTGACACTTGGTGAGTTCCCTGGAACACCGGGGACACATATTCATGTATAAAAGACGTACAAAAGTGCATTTTGCATGATAGGTCCCCTTTAAAACTAAAAGGAACATTAAATGTGCAACTCTTTTGCGCAACAATTCAGACAATGGATTATAATTTACTTAACCAAAAAATGCAAAACAATTAGCTGTAACTGCCTCTCAAATGTGAAAATGTCCTGCTTTTCCTTGTCTTAAAAGATAGTAAACTAAATATATTTGGGCTTTTAACAGTAGTTCTGAGAAAACAAGCAAATGGAAGAAGAAGAAGTGTTTTCTATATTTTTTTATCTCATAACAACTTATGACCAAGTGCTGCCTATACTACCACATGACTGAGAAATATAGAAACTATCAGATATGGCAAGTACACACATCCTTTACTCAAGTAAGTACAGATACTTGTGTTTAAAAATACTCTGGTAAAAGTAGAAGTACTGACTAAACTTCTTTACTCAAGTAAAAGTAAAGAAGTATGGGCTTTGAAATGTACTTAAGTAAAAAGTACCCATAACTAGCAGCTGTTTTAAAGAGTAACTGACCTCCCTTTATATTAATAGAACAATAATGTCATTGTTAGCTAATGAATGTTTCCATGCTGAACAACGGCAAAATTACAACGTTTTCATTGGTCCCTCTTCTTTAGAGAAGACCAGGAAATGATGGATACACGGATCGTGTTCAAATCAATAGGCACGCAATGACTCTAAATAATAATGATCACGCCACCAAACACAGATTCAAACTAAAGTAACCAGCCTGTTTTGAAAATGTAAGAAGTAGAAAGTACAGGTATTTGTGTTCAACATGTAAGAAGTAAAAGTAAAAAGTCGTCAGAAAAATAAGGAGTGGAGTAAAGTACTGATACCAGAAAAATGTACTTAGGTACAGTAACGAAGTATTTATACTCCACTACTTCCCACCTCTGGAAACTATATGGCATTAAGGACAGCTACCTTTATGAATTTCTATAAGCAAGTTGTATTCTTTGACCCTTTCTCAGGTCTGGCAGTGTGCAACAACACTGGAATGAGATTTATTACTTTGTTGACCACCTGGCTCACAAGTTCATCAGGTAAGTCCAAGCAGAAACGTCAGATTTGAAAGAGAAACAATATATTGTAAAACATGACAGTCGTCTCTTGCTGTTTTTTTTTCTTCTAGTCCTCAGCTGCGGATGTCTTTCATTGTGTTTTCAACAGAAGGAAGGACTCTCATGGCACTGACAGAAGACAGGTGCACACACACACAGCCTCATGCAAATGTCTTAAAGATTGAATGTATCAGTTGTATTTTCCTTTGCTTAGTTAAATGCAATTTGTGCTATCTCCTTGAATTTGAAATAACATATACTCAATGATCAGAGAGCAGATCCGGGCCGGGCTGGAGGAGCTCAACAATGTGCATCCTGGTGGAGACACCTTCATGGACAAAGGTTTTCAAAGAGTAAGACATCTGTTAAATAAATGAGAAGCAGATCCTGCTTGCCCAACAGGATGGCATCTAACTCGTTTTAAATGAGACCAATTTAAATATATTGCCACTGACGCCTCTAAACTTCTCTTTTAGGCCAGCGAGCAAATTTACTACGGGACCGGAGATGGTGAGTAAAAAACGTTCCTTTCCAAGCACTTAATCATGACTTCTAGTAGTAATAAGTATATTTAATCCATTCATCACAACTCAATTCAAACATGTGTTAGAATAATCAAGAATAACAACCGAATCACAGCTGCGCTTTCCATCAAATGACAGTTATTTTATAATATTTGATGAGACGGATTTTGTGTCATTATTTAAACCGCCATTTCCTCTCTGTTTCTGGCTTTTAGGTTACCGGACAGCCAGTGTGATCATCGCCCTGACGGACGGTGAACTGAGGGAAAATCAGTTTGACCTCGCACAAAGAGAGGTGACATGAAAACCAGATAGGGATTAAAACTAAATGCAGGGTGTTAGCATTACTTAAACATTGCTTTAGTGCAGTTTAACAGTCAATGTTCAATAGAGAATGAATATATCCTCAAATTGATCCTTTTTTTTCAAAAAGACAGTAATAATATTGCAAATTGGGACTTTTTTACCATCATGTGATTATGCATTATATCACCTATATTTCTCCCCACTTCAAAAATGATGTAAAAATAAGAAACTTGAAAGCATAAATAAACATTTGAACCTCATATGTCAGGAAAGCCTTTGCTGTATTATCCTGTGTGTAAAAACCAGGGTTGTTGCCCTTGTGGCCACATGACTCTGCAATGTCACAACAGATGTTTTCCAGCAGCTGTCAAAGGCATAACTTAACTGAAGGAGGCGTTTCTACGAGTGGAAAAAACGTTCAAATTGCAGCCCATAAGGAGCAATGAAACCTGCACTTTCTGCCCGATTGACTGAGCCTTCATCTTTCTACTGAAGTTCATTTACTCAGATATAGTCTTCATTACACAGGGACAACAATCAATAATCTTTGAATCATTTGCAGTCCTTGGGCAGGCTGTGCTACAACATTAAATACTCTCTATCACACTCAAATGATTCATAAACATATGAATACCAACTCAGTCATCAAATAGAATTGCAAAATGACCTATCATTAAAAAAACCTGTGTTGTTTAATGTCTCAGGCAGGCAGAGCTCGCCAGTTGGGTGCCACTGTGTACTGTGTCGGGGTTAAAGACTTCAATGAAACCCAGGTAAATGAATCTGGTAACTAATAAAACGGTTTATTAATGTATGAATTGAGCAATGCAAACTTATAATCATTGAATCGACATTGACAGCTTTCAACGATAGCTGACAGTAAGGACCATGTGTTCCCGGTGAACGACGGATTTGAGGCGCTACACGGAGTCATCGACTCGGTAATTTTATGTCACAGAAATATGATTAAATACTTAATTGCTAAATTGAACCTACTGTACCTTGAGTTCCTCTTATTGTACAAAAACGTCCCCTTTCAGATCCTGAAGAGGTCATGCATCGAGATCTTGGCTGTAGAGCCGTCCAGCATCTGTGCAGGAGGTACACACAAACATTTTATTAAAAAAGATTCTGCATTATACAACTCATATTTAGATATAATTATTCAACTGAAAGAGACATACAAGCATATGATGTAGAGTTTATATCCCCAGGTTACATTTATGACTATAGGCCTTTCAAAAATACACAATGTAAAACCTTTTGGAAGGACACATGACAGTAAATAATTATAAAATATGGTCCCTTTAATCCCATTTCAGAATCTTTCGAAGTGGTAGTAAAAGGAAATGGTTTCCTTCACACCCGAGACGTACAGAAAGTACTCTGCAGCTTCCGCATCAATGACACCGTTACTTTGAGTAAGTATATGCACTGGATTCTTTTTTGTAGGATGTCTTTATTTGTGACTTTTAAATGCTTAATATATAACAAAGTGTAATGTGAAAGCAGTAACTCATAGTGACAAACCTACATCCAATCTTCCCATTAGTCTGCTGCACTCCCCTCAGAGAGCATTTTAGCGTCTTTTTCTTTTAGCCTTCAGCTCTTTGTTTCGGCTTTATGGCTCACAGTGCAACCTGTTCAGACCCAAACAGCAGACAGACAAAGTTAGCGACTATCTGGTGAACATAGCAGAGCATTAAGCAGCTAAAAATACAAAACCAAGCTAAATGGAGAGTGCACATTGGATTTACTTCTATATGAATGCTAATGTTGCTGTGTCTGCTTGCTTGGTGTGTTAATAGACAAATACCAAACCACACATAGAAGTCCATAATTTAAAATATACAAGGCCATATTATGTCAAATGTGATAGTTTGATATGGAGTTGTTACCGCAAACAAGAGGAAATGGTTAGTCTGTCAAAAGGCAACATAACTTTAGGAGAATTTAGACATGTGTAAGTAAACTTTCACCTCATCCTCCGTTGTCCACATTATATTGTGAAGTGACTGACAAGACCACAACATTGGGTGTTTGAATACAATTTATATATATATAGACAGCAGCAGTTTTAATCAGCAGCCATTTACAGCACTGTTCAAAGTCGTTTTTGTTTACCATTCAGCAGGGGATGGGTGAGGGGTGAGCAGTTTTTAGTAGCTCTCAATGACTGAAATCCCTGTCGGCCCTCCTCTTAAAAAAAACCCATCAACACCATCTAGCCCTCCTTTGAATCAGCTGGTATAACGCTCAATGCTTCTCAGATGTCTGGAGGGGAATGTGGATCAGGCATGAAGCACTGTCTTTGCACACACAGACACTCACTCAGCCAGGGTAAATAAACCGCAAACCGCCCTAATTTGCTACTTTTTCCATAAGGGGAGGAAGTCCAGGAATTGAATAACAAAAAAGAAGTTTGAGGCTAGAATTTAGTGAAGTTTCATGACTGAGAAAAATCAAGCAAAAGTTCTCCTTTGCAGCTTTCACTACTTTCTCTTTCACCAGTTATCATCTGTAATTGACCCTTGTATGTAAAGTTCATTACAGCATGATAACATTGTTTATTCCACAGTGAAAAGACCTTTGGTGGTGAAAGATACCTACCTTTTGTGCCCGGCTCCTGTACTGGAAAAAGAGGGAACGTAAGTTATTACTGTAAGCGTTTACAGATGGGGATGACTGGGTCGCATTGAATACATTATCATTGCTCCTCTGTTTTTCCCACTTCCATTTGTACAGATGTGCCACTCTCCACGTCAGCATGAATAATGGCCTGAGCTTCGTATCAAGCTCCGTCACAATTACTGCAGTCACATGTGTAAGTGCAATTCAAAGCAAAGCTGAACTCACACAAAGCTTATAGATATATTCCAACTCCAGTCTACACTTTGTTCTGACTCATACTATTCATATTGACACATTGCATGACAAAACGTGGGTTAGGGTTAGAGTAAGGGGTCTAGTTGTTTCTTTCAGGGTTAGGGTTAGTTTTTTTTTTAAAGAAACATCCTGTCACACATGTAAGCATCTTTATTAACTTGAGGCTCTTACTCCGTTTATCTTCCATTTTATTATAGTCATAGTTTTTGTAAGAACCGTAGCCCATGTTCAATTTGGAGGGAATTTATTGAGTTGTGGTAGTCCAGCAAATAAATAGTTACAGTTGTCTAGAATGGCTCGAGACCAACCAAGCATGAGAGTATATCAATGAGAGAAATGTTTAGAAAAGATCAAGTCTCAATCAAAGTTCATCCCAGATTTATGGCCTCATGGGTGCTCTGCAAACCCTGGGAAACTAATGTTTGGCTTACACAATCCTTGTGAGCTTTGGGTCCAAATAATAATACTCCAAATAGTCAAATAGTTTATTTGTCTGAAGAATAATTTTCTTAAGCCACAGAGGAATATTTTATCCATTAGTTTATCAGACACATTCAAATAAACACATCTGGAGAGAATGGGTAAAAAGTGTAAAGATACAAAAGCTGTCAAACTTCTGATAAAGTAGTAGGTTCAAAGTAAAATATGTTCTTGTAAGATGCAGTGGAGTAAAAGTATAAAGCTGCAAAAGATACTTGAAGTACAGTAAAGTACAAGTACCTTGATTTATTTTACCACCACTTTCATAAATGACTCTTTCTTCTAGTCTCAGTTGCAAACTTGTTAAAGTAGTTTCATTTCAACACAATTATGTATTTCAGTATTTGAAAAGCAACAAGTTGGTTAGAAAGTTGTGTACTGGTTTGATGCAGTACAGTCAAATGATCTTACCCTGGTGATGTCCTGTCTCTTTTTCCTGCTCTATAGTCTGATGGGACCTTTGTTGCCATAGCGTTGCTCATCCTGCTGCTCCTGCTCATCGTCCTCCTGCTCTGGTGGTTCTGGCCTCTCTGCTGCACCGTGGTACGGCAGCCATCTTGGATCTTGTGGATGAACAACATAAAAATGTGTGTTTATGTCAGACACCATTATATATGTATCTTTCATGTTTGCAGGTCATTCACGAGCCGCCTCCTCCAGTAATAGAGGACAGCTCCGTAAGTGCTTAATCATTTTTCTCACCTTTCTGCACCCTTTTTAATTTCACAACAGTAATTATTGCCTTGTTTGTCTCGCAAAGTCTAATGGTTTTGCTTCTTTGATTTATTTTTTAAAGGATGACGAGGATGGTTTTCCCAAGAAGAGGTGGCCCACAGTGGACGCCTCGTACTACGGAGGACGTGGAGTCGGAGGCATCAAAAGAATGGAGGTATAAGGAAACCCAGATAGAAAATACTTTATTATGTCGTTAAACTTAGTGTTTAACTTTGTGTTAACTTTAACAGACTTAGATTCACAAAATAGAATACTAATATTGCTAAATGTTTGCAGCCTGTTCCAAAGCTGCTATAATCAGAAGAGGTCATTCTTATCTAACATCAAACCAGCAAATTATGCTTATAGATGCTGAATTAGTCAATTCTGCTCCTTTGCAAAATTAAATATGATTTTTTATAAATATAAGAATGAAATCCACTGCATATCTGCATCAGTCAGCTAGCTCCAGGTTCATAGAAGAAACATGTGGCAGCCATGATTCTAGCTCCTGCTTACTTTGAAAAAAGATCAATCAAAGACAGAGGCAATACAAAGTGGAACAGGAAAAGAGTAATTCCTTAAAAGAGATGAGTATGCAAGTCCATGCTGGAAGCGGCTGAGTCACTTTGTTGTGATTCTTTGGAGAGCCAGTGAGAGTCAAGTTGAGGCCAAGATCTGGCCCGTAAACTGCAGAGACGACAGATTTACCAAATGCCAGGATGTGTACTCTTCTAGCGAGCTTGAATGATTTGTTCGTGGTTGTTACAGAAACAGGCAAGTTTCTTTGGCTTCCAGCAGTCTGCTCAGGAGAAGTAAAGGTGCCTATTAGAGGAATCTTGTGGAAAGGCTTGGATTTTGCAACTTGAGATGGTAAAAGGCAAGAATGCTTTCAATTGTGTGTGGAAAGGAAGAAATCATAATGTCTGGAGATTTCTAGTGAAATAGTAAGAGGCAGTCAGACATCTGAGCTACCTGATAGATTCTGAGAAATAATCACAAAGTACATACGTCCCAAGGTCACGATATGTGTCTGTGTCTAGGAGAAAGGGGGTCACTCTCTTGGTGTGAAATGCTTTACAGACTGTCAGTGCAGCCTGAGGACTCTGTGCTGTGAACTTGAAGCGGCACCACTTCCAAACAGAGCAATGGAAAATATGCACAACCTCATTTAAGTGCTTTTTCTGCCAGGTTTAAACTTTCATGGCTTTTCTGTGGCAGCTGCAAGGGAGTAAATCTGAATAATGATCTTCCAAGGTTGCTTTGACAGGACTGGTTTCAATCCTGGTGTGATGGATCTTTCTTCATCTTTACTTTGGCTTTTTTAGTTGTTCTCTGAGCATTCAGTTAATTATAAAAGAAACATAACAAATCTGCTTTTAGTGAAACGTTCTTTACATGTGGGAAGGAAGATTATCGTTAGCATTGGTTCTTATGCTGAATATGTAGTTTTTAAGCTAGGAAATAGGTCTAAAAGTAAATGCTGCTCTCTCAGGGGCATAGGAAAAAATCCCAAACTTTGGGACATAAACTGCAATGCAATAACATTTTGAGGCAAATGAGCCAACTTCTGAGGACTGGGTTTAATTCATCTTTATGTGGATGTGCAAGAAAAGAGTCATTTTCATATGTAGAAATAAAGCAGCACGTTGTAGCTATAAGATTGACATCATTTACAACTGTTGAAATCATTGCATGCACTGGCATACAAATGGTCCAGATGCCTTTTTTCAGCTGATGTAAATAAAATGTTCTTATTATCTCAAAATATTCAATGTAACAACAAGACTAGGCTTCTCTAAGTCTACGGTCTAAGCGCTGTGTTTAGGCACAGCTGTGTTTTGAGCTAAATGCTATAGTTATGCTAACATACTCAGAAAGACAATGCTAACATGCTTATTTTAGCTGCTACAGTATTTAGCATGCTAACATTCACTATTTAGAGTAGACTAAATGCAAATGCAGCAAAGTACAGCTGGGGCTGATTGCATGTCATCATTAAAGGTAGGATATTCAGTCATACAACTAAGTGTGGGACACAAACATTTAACCAGTCCATGGCGCAAGAGGAAAGTTTAACAAACAACAACTATCCATCCAATAGTTGTTTGAGACACTTTTCCAGAAACCAAAAATGTCAAGCTCATATGCACTGGACTGGAATAAAGGTCAGTAGATCTCTAAAGTGAGATGGACTTATTGTCTAGGAACAAAAAAAAATCTGAAAATGTCCTGAAACAGTTTTAGAGATATGTCAGTAAAGACAAATGGTGGAGCTAACTAAAATGTAGCCGGTCTATTATTCTGAAGCTAATATAAACTAATACAATTATCGACTGTATTCCTACTTCAAACTCAACTCATTTTAAACACGTCTTTTGCTTGTCTTATTAGAGCACTGATAACTTTTGATTTTATTCAGGTCCGATGGGGAGATAAAGGCTCGACTGAAGAAGGAGCTAAACTGGAAAAAGCAAAAAATGCTCGAGTTGTGATGCCAGAGGAGGAGTATGATCCACCGCGGCCTTACTACCACGTGCACAAATCAGTCCGCCCACAGAAGTGGTACTCTCCAATAAAGGTGCTAAAGTTATTTAGTTTGAACTTTATTGTTTTATTAAATATACTTAAATTGACAAAAAAATCTTATCTTAGGTTGTTTTAGTTTGAGAGTTGTTATCCACATAGCATGGTCTAGCCCAGTTTGCTCAGTTAGAGAACTGTTGGAAAATGTTTTCCATGGCATGGATCAGAATCAGAATACCTTTATTAGTCCCACAGAGGGGACATTTGCATCGTTACAGCAGGAAAGAGCCACAGACAGCTTAATGTTACATATGTTAAAAAAAAGTACTAAGTTATGATATAATAAAAATATAATTAAAAAAAAAAAAGTAAAAAAAAAAGTTACGTACTTTTCAAAATACAAATCCTGTAACAGTTCTTAGGATTTAGCAGCCAGGTATATATTACACAGTTATTAATGGCATATGTATATAATGTATATATTGCACATATAGCACATAGTTTGATGGTATTTAACTGCAGCAAGTTACACAATTTACAAAATACAAAATGCAAAATACACACCTTGTAACGGTTCTAAGGATTTAGCAGCCAGGTATAAATTACACAGTTATTAACGGCATATATATATTGCACATATAGCACATATTGCACATAGTTGATTGGTATTTAGCAGCAAGGGGTGATATAGTCTGTGTTGTGGTGTGTGTTGTGGATCACATAACGTTAACATATGTAATATACTACAGTATGATGTAAATTCCAGATGTTTCGAAACATAAAGACCTCTTCCTGACAATGACGTCCATCCATCATTATCTAAAAGTATTAGTTTTAGTGTTCCTGGGGAAGATGTGTGACCAGGAAATAGTTAATAAAAATGTGTTCCCTAGCATATTAGTCAGCTGGATGGATGGTAATAAGAACCAGACATGAACCGAGCTGACCCATTATTATGGAATCTGTTGCACGGCTGTTATTTCCAGCAAAAATACTTTCTTTGTTTATCTATCGCTCTACCATAAAGCTTCCTATGCAAGAATCAAAAGAAAGACATCTGGAGCAAAAAGTGGAGCAGATGCCGTCTGGCAGAGAAAACAAAAACAAACGCTGCACTGCGGGACACTACACACACATATAATGTTGATAATCTGTTTGTTATCAGAGGTCACTTGTATGATCTGCTGTTTAATATTTGTACTATCATCTGTGCTAATCTTCCTCCAGGGCAAACTGGACGCTTTGTATGTATTTCTGAGAAAAGGCTATGACAGAGTGTCTGTGATGAGACCTCATCCTGGAGACAAGGTGAGAGACACGCCAGAGATAACAGAAGAAAGGAAAATATGCTATGATTCTTCCTCTCTTAATGAAAAACAGCATCACTTCTGTTAAGACAAGAACGCATGAACTAAAAAGCAAAGCAGTACAAATGATAGTTAACCAGATATTTCAGGTTTTTGGCAGGCAGACGTGTAAAGATTTGCCAGATCTCAAATTCCTGACCTCTGGAAATGAGGAACAAAAGAAGTTTGGAGCGAAGGATCAAAGAGCAAAGTAAAAAAACGAGATGATGTTTCATCTGCATGACATTAAAGACTCAAAAGTCAAAGCTCCTTCAAACTGACTTCAAGCTAAACCCTCAGGAGGCATAGTGAGTAGACAAAGGAAAAAACAACCGCAGCATTGTTTCTGCAGGAAGACTTGTGTCTGGAGAAGTCATTTGGAGTAGATCCTGCTCCACTCCCAGCTTCTGCTCGACTGGGCTGGCAGGAATACTATTTTCTTCCATGACACTCAATAACAGAGGAATTTCCTCTTTCCGTTAGTTGAAAGCTGTACCCTTCCAAGCCTGCCAATGTGCCACAGCAGATTTAGATTCAGATTTATGGAATATCTGCAGATTGTTGTCTTTTCCTTTCTTTCCACAATGACCTGAAATTACTTTTTATTTCTCTTCATTACAGGGCAAGTGCATAAACTTCACCCGGAGTAAACCCTACCCTGTTTCTCACTATCCCATCTACAACCACCCCTCCACGCCCGTCTACACTTTGCCCCACAGCTACCAGCGTCGTCCGTCAGAGGGCAGCCACACCTTCTTGCCCCCTTCGCCCACTTCAACGCTCCCCCCTCTGCCGTCCACTCCTCCCCCGGACTTCACCACCCTTCCTCCGTACACCCCCCCTCCCAACAGAGCCCTGCCTCCTTCTAACTTGAGCTCAGTCTCTGCACCCCCGTCCCCAACCGGCTCCCTACCGCCCCCTCCTCAGGGTCCCGCCCCGTGCAGAGCGCCTCCTCCCTCACGGCCTCCTCCACGCCCCAATCATGATGATGATGATGATGATGATTAAAAAACGAAATGTTGAGAAGGATCGTCTTCTCACTGTCAGAGTGACTTTTAAATGTTGCCTTTTCGAGGCTGCAGCTGATAATTGAACATCAGTTTTCCTCCACAAGCAGCTCATGCTTGATGTGCCAAGAACTATGACTTGAATTTTTAAGTCTAGAAAGTAAATAGTGTAGCGAGCACAGCTTTGGCTATTAAATGCTAATGGAGCTAAGCAATGTATTCATATCTTAAGAAACATTTCTTCCAAATATCAAATCTGACAAGAATTGCGATACGCTCTGGAGTTGTATAAACGCACATTTTACTCTTTGCTTGATGCAAATCTTTGTTCACTGCTTAATGCTAGTGATGTGACGTTCGCGAACGATCCGATTCTTTTGAACGGCTCTTTGGTACGAACGAAGGGAACCGAGTCCTACTTGGTGAGAGCCGTTCTTTTTATCGTTGGTTCACTGCCTGCAATAAATCCACTCGCCTTTTAAAGGAACTTGCTTTCCTGAATGCCAATTTGCCATACATGATGGCATAACGCTGCTTGAGTAGTAGTTTGGCTGGCTGAGAGATGCAGCAAGTTATACATTTTCTGTGAGTAAAAGTAGATTTCTGGCAATACAGTCAATCATTATCCTGGTGATTATTTCTCTTTTGAATGGCTCTTTTGAACGGCTCTCGGAAAGGAACGGAGCCATAAGATCTGGCTCCCTTCAAAGAGCCGTAATTCCCATCACTACTTAATGCAGTGGAGATTTAAAAAAAAGAAGAGTATTAGCAGCAGGATATCCGGTGGCTCAGTAACTGTGTCATGTGTTTTAAACATGCAAGTTTGTTTGGCAAGTGCTGTTTTGGAAAATGTATATTTTGTAAATGAAAATCCATTAAATCACAATCACATCACATGTATATCGATTTATGATTTCAATGGATTCACGGGATTTGTTAGGTTTAACCTTTTATTAGTATGTTTCAGATGTTCTGATGGATACATTGTATTCGTTTTTCAGTGTATACACAGCAGAAGGTGTCAATACTCATACACTTAGAGCAAGTAAACATAGTTTTTAAATACATAAAGATAAATGAATTCACTTTAAGTAACGTTTTTCTTAAAAGAGATTTTCTAAATGTTGAGTTTGTTAGCTTTCAGAAACACATTTGGGGCTCTGTCCACATTCATTAAGGGAGAAAGCACTGACTTTTTCTTACCTGGTAAAGACCCCCCGGACAGCTGCATGCAAGCATATTCTGGTCACCACAAGTTACTTTGGGAAAGACTGGAGGAATTTGCAGAGAAAAGCCCATCTGGGCTGTTCTGCTTTCCTGGCTGGCACTGCAGGAAATGAGCAAACAGCTAGAAGGTGGATGGATTAACAGTAGGATGAATATCGTAAAATGATTCTCTTTATTTACAACAGTTTGGAAAAACACTTTTCCATTTTGGGCAAATGTGCTTAGAGCTCGAAGAATGGAACTTGATATACAGAGTTTGAAATGTTGCAACAAGCCAAGAGTCTTATTCCAATCAGATCTTAAAAAAGTACATCTTGATATATATTTTCCATGTGCTTTCCTAAGTTGTGTGCAGTCCTGTGGCGAGTGAGCTCATGGAGGCGTGTCTGAGAAAACTGCGAGAAACAAAAGCATTCAGATTTAAGAACAAAAACTATAAATACAAAATATGATGCCATCAAGATCAGGCAGGAGTATTTATAATAACACTATAAAACATCCTTCTGCACACAGTGAAGAGGCGGTTTAAAACATTCAATGATACCTTCCTATTTAAGAGCATAGGTGAGCTAAGACCAATGGTGCCACTTAAAAGTGTTTTTGTCTTATAATACTTTTATTTCTGTTTTCAGGTTTCAGTTGTAACTATATGATCGACTGGGTAAGAACAAAAGTTATATTCCTAAAACCATCTCAATCATCGTAACCAAAATAATTGCATAGTATAGTATTCTCTAAAAAAAGATCAACAAGTTTTAGATATAAGATTACAAATAACATATCTAGCCTGTTTAGCTGCATGACTTGGATCATAGTTTTCTGCAGAGGGAATGATCAAATCCAGCTTACTTCTCGATCTACACACAAATATGTTTAACTTGAACTGAACTCGGCCAGTGGCACATCTTCTTTGGCGTACGAACAACAGCAATCACAGACGTCACAGCTGATCAGCTCTACAGAGACATTATGAAGCGCAGCAGCTGACACAGCATTGATTTACAGACTTATCTATCTCCATTTACGTACACACATCCTGACATGTTTACTTTGATCAAATCAGCTCGTGACCTGGCTCACTCTACCCGTTTTCCATGTCCCCTCCTCTTTATTTCTTATTAAATCACATATGATTCTGCGTATCCTTGAATAAAACCAAGCAGCTCATCTTTCACACTAACTCCATTAATCCCTTTTTCCTCGAGTAGATAAAGATTTAAGCTGTAACTCGCATGTTTTGGCTGGTTTATTAGGGGTCTGACACAAAAATGCAACCCCACTTTGTATTTAATGTTTTTTCCATTTTACCTCAGCAGACTTATTCTTTTTAGGAAAGCTTCTTCATTTCACGTTATGCAGATATAAAGAAATGCTGAGGTAAAATGGAAAAAACATTAAATACAAATGTGTTAGTTATTTCACAAGCCATTTTTATGTCAAACCCTTTGGCCTCACATTCAAAGATAAGCCTGCAAGGAGCAAACACATCTTGCTTCATCGAAGACACAGAGGGAAAGGGATGTTTTCATCCTATTAAAGTAACCCTATCTCAAGTCTATCAACACAACAGAGATGAAACACAATCTTTGAAACTATGTGGGTTCTGACTGTTGTCTCCTTAAAAGAGGCTGACATTTGAACAGGTTTACCCTCTAAAATGAGTTGGCAAAAAGGCATGGGTAGAAACAGTACGATGCAATTATGTTAACAAACCTTTAATAAAGTACAGGTTTCATTTTCACTGACAACGTATGCAGTATTATATAGAAATACACAAACACCGTCAGCATGGCAAGGCACCATAGTTTACAAAAACTCGTCCATCTGTAACAAAGAATAAGGCAAACTTAGAAGCATTATTTAAAATATGATAAACTTACTAAAACGTCTGCTTGGTAGAGATGGAGTTTTGTTTTCTTCTTGAGAATCCCTTCTGACCTGTCACCTCATGCTGTAAGACATCAGTGAATATTGAACTACAGACAGGATATGTTTCATTTAAAAAGTCCAACATTATGAGGCTAAAATTCGGAGAAACTGGAGTAGTTTGTTGGAAAAGGCAGCATCAACCTGCAAACATTATTAAGCAGTAATGCAGGTAAATGGCGCTCAATATGATCAAAGTCTTCCAAGTGTAACATCATATGGTTTCCAGTAAAGCTCTCCAATGACCAGCCTTTTCAGATTTTCTGTAAATTGTCTTTCTTTTCTTACATTTTTAGGAGTATTTTAGTGCTGTAACTGCAAGAATATGTGTTGTCCCTTAACTGTGTGACAAAGGTCTCACATCATTACATTTCATGTCTATACTTCTTTGGTTTGCAGTAAAATATTTGGTATCTTCAGTTCTTCAGGCCTGCAACCATTTTGGAAACATAATCTGTAATTGAAATGTAAACAAAGCATTACCAACTAAAGTTTAGGAACATACAATCACTGCCAAACTGATTGACCTGTTTTTAACTCAAACTAAAACATCTACTATATCTCTAAGCTTTTGTTTATATTGAAATACAATTATATTAAATATTACAGCACACAGAAAAAGGTCAGAGTAAAACAGAACCAAATATTTGAATTAACGATAAACACACTATGTTTTTTTGAAATGATTTGAATAAACCATTATTAGCATGATCAAAACGACAGATTAGGTGAACCCTTTTTGATATCCTAAATTCAGTTTAAAATGATTCCCAGATCACTCCTTCAAGTTCTTCTTAAGAATTCCTCAGTCCAGCTTCTCAATTGTGCTAAAATGAAGCACTCATAATAAAGTAAAGTGAGGTAGACCATAAGTTTAAACAGCTACATAACCAGTGAACATATAATATACTAGTTTTAATACTGCAGTAATGGTAATAAATGTAAAACTACATTAGAAATGTGAGTGATACTGTGACTGAAGCTCCTTCTTTAAAGGTCCCCTATTATACTGTTTTTCATCAATATATTATAGGTCTCAGATATATACAAACATGTCTCTGAAGTGTTTTCCTCGAAATACCAAACAGATCATTGTAGCATCCCATAATCCCCTCTGTTTCAGCCCTGTTTCAAAAGTGCTGATTCTCTGTCTGTTACGTTTAGATGAAAATAAGGAGCCACTCCCCACGCCCCTCTGAGAGATATTTGGTTAAAAAGAAAACACTGGTGCTCTAGGAGGAGATTCAGGTGATAAGGTGGGGGGGGGGTTACCTTGGTTGGTGATTGGCTAATGGTTACACAAGCCAAAAAATCGTTATGACATCATAAAGTGGCCAAAATCTGATCAGCTCATTTTCAGACAGGTTCTTATATAAATGGATCAGGACAAAAAGTGAGCAAATCTTTTTTCCTGAAACGTTCAGAATCTCTTTCCACAGAGGGGACACATGTTTATGTATAAAAGACATGAACAAGTGGATTTTGCATAATAGGTGACCTTTAAGTTACAGAATTAAGCTGTGACTTGGCCTCAGAGATATGATCAAGGTTTCCCCTGAGAGCATCTGGGGTGGAAAGGTGCAGCGGTGAACGGGTCTTCCAGGGGTCTCCCCCCGATGGTCCAGGAATGCAGGGGCCCCACTGCCACGGAGCCCACCGCGGCCTGCTGCCCGATCCTGGAGACGACCCGGTGCACGGCCACCGGCTGCTGGAGCTGAGGGGTGGCCCAGACACGGGGACACTGGGGACCGGGAGGGGACGACTCTCGGACCGGGGGACACTGTTTGCTGGTTTCAATCTGCGGTTCAGATATGTGAGTGCTAGCTTGGGTGGTTTCCTGCCTCTTTCCAAACGGTGCCTGGAGGAAGATATCGGATGCGTCAGCAGGTTTGTGCGACTCGCAGAAGGAGGGGCTGCTGAAGGGCATCTTGCTCTCTTTTGCTGGCGTTTTGAAAGGAGCCAGCTGGAAGACATCAGAGGAGACCGGGCTGTTTGGAGGCTGCAACTGGGACACTGGGTTGACAGGAATAAAAGGCAGGCTGGTGGAAGTAGCTGGTATTGTGTGGGGTGTTGTGCTGCTGTCATCTGATGGCAACATGTGTTTATCATAGACGCATGCAGCATTGTTTGGCTGGATCTCCGGCCTATGATTCTCCTCAGAGAGCTGCACAGGAGCCTCAGTCTGAGCATCTCTCTGTGCATTACTGCTGAGCTCCCTCTGCAGGTCTGTGAGAGAGGAGATGGAGAAGGGTCAGATATGAAGACACATGCATCAAAGATCTGCTGACCTCTTACAGGTTATCTACAATTTAATATATACAGCTATATCTATGACATAAACATTAAGGAAAGGAGTGTTACCTGTATTCTGTTCATGTGTTTTACTGCCATATCTGTTCAATATGTTACACTTTCTTGTGCAAATGTTGGGTTATGTTAGCTGAAGACATTTTTCCACTCTGGTGGACAATACATTGGTATTCTAGTTTAATCTTTCCAAAGTGGATCAAAACCCAAAACCATACTTGTCAAAGATTGGGTTTGTATTCCAGTTCTTTAAATCATACATCTTGCATCTGGAAGCTTAAAAGAGTGATTGGAAAAATAGCCCCACCTATAAAGGATTTTAGTGTTCAATAGAGATTTCTATCAGCGGGCAGATATATATTTTTTACAGAAAAACATGATAAAATGTTGTGTCAGTGCTCCAGTGTTGAGCAAGATATGAATTGCACATTTTACAGTTCAAATGTAAACGTGTTAGTGTTCTCTATATTACATTACATGTCATTTTTTTATATATCTATATAGAAAACATCTGTAATATCTGTCATTAGTCTATAATTGTCGGCCAGGCTCCAGAAATAATCCTAATCCACTAAAATGCGGTATATCCCTGACTTGTGACTCCACTTAATGTAGTGGGAAATGGTAGCCTCTTTGAAGTTAAAGCAATAGTAAAAAAACTAAAGTGAAAAAACCCAAAATGTATTGACAAATATAATAGAGCATGAAGGTCTTACCTGAATAAGACTTAACCTGCTATCTGAGCAGAATACATTTGGATTAGTGCATTACACAGTGTGATGACTTCTAATATATTATTAAACACATTTACAAATAAATTACCAGATCATTTAAGCCGGACTCAATGAACTTCATGCAGATATCTATACACGAAAGTCTTTACCCCGTTTCAATAGCATTTTACTCCTTTGATGTTATTAGCCGAACAAATGATTTAGTCTCATGACAAACATTAGAGCCTACATTACCCATAATGCAACTTAACTGGGGACACTTCGATCATTATGAAAACAGTTAACACCTTTTTTTAAATAATAATAAAAATAATTAGTTCTTCGGTTGAGTAACTTCAACCAATATCCTGGACATTAAGAACATCTTGCAATCAATACTCAACACATTGACATTGACATTTGTATTTTATTTGCCATCCCTTTATAATTCTTTAATTATCTCACAAAAATAGAAGGAGCACACGATACCACAGCTCTGACGCAGGTTTGGGCCATCAAGACAAGAGTAGTCTCAAAACACTCAGAAGAATCAGATAATCAACAGGTTTCATTTTTTGGCAAAAACAGAGAAAATGAGGGGCTTCTGTTTCACATCAAGGAGTAACCTCACTACCTGCTGGGCTTTTAACACCAGAACACCGGCGGCTACAGGGAGAGAGCTCGGGGGTTGCATAGGTTCAAACAGTAACTGTGAGTTGTTCAGAGGAAGGGTCATTAAGAGAAAGATGGAAACAACAAGAGCCTTCAGTTCACATGCAGTACCAACAGGAAATACCTCAGAGACGTGCCTCTCCTTTAAGGTTCGCCAAATATAAAAGGATGTAATTCAATAGTTTACATCAGGAGCTCTACTCAAAATACTCTCAATCTTAGGTGGTAAATGAATACAATTGAAATTAGACAGGAATACAGATGTTTTCTCTGTTTATCATGATATTTATCATCAAAGAACATGTGAAGAAGTCACTGCTCCATGTTTTAAGTGCCATTCTCAGATTTGAGGTGATTTATTTGACACTGCTGCCTTACAAGGTAACTATTGTATTTCATTTAAAAGGTTTAGAAAGAGGTTTTAAGCTAAAAGCACGTCAAAACTGTTGTTCGTCGTCTTATTACTCTGTGCAATAAAGTTGCAGTAATGTTGAATCTAATCTAATAAAAAAAACATTAAGATCCATGCACTTTATCAGCATTTAACCAAACGTTTCTTTCAAAAAGAGACCTTTTAATACCAAATAACATCCAGATTGTTGATGAATCTAAATGACTGTGCCACCTGAAGACGAGACTATTTTAAGTAGATTTCTCCAGACCGATCGCTCTCCAGCGTAGTGTAATCATGCATGAGAAGATAACCTTGTTTGACCTTACAGAAACGTTTCTATTGCTGATTTCTTTTCAAACCCTGGACTTAATGCTGAGTAGTTGTACCTCCACTGTTGGCATATGAACCTTTTCACACTTCACAGAGCCCCTCACACATGAGCCTATCAGACAGATTCAGTAACATGGAGTGCAGACTTCCAGAGGAGATGTGAGGCCAAAACAAATCCAACTCTCAGTTGTAGCTCGGACTTCCTGAGAGAATTTAGGGGTGGGGGGGGGGGGGGGGGGGGGGGGGGGGGGGGCTGTGCTTTCAGAAGAGATTTTTAACGACAACGTGACTGTCGCCGTATTTGCAGAGAACATCAACACAAGTAGGCTACTGGAAAACACATCCAACAATTCTGACTCCACACACACACACACACACATACTTATCATAACACTGTATACCAACACACACATAACATTCAACAACACTGCCATGCTTTTTGATATGAACTCTGTGATCACTAAAGTCCGTAAAGCCAGTAGCGATGAAATGAAACAGAATTCGAAGAAGTTAAACTCCCACTTTCCGTACAACTGTCAACTGTTTTTGAATAAAAATATAATCCTTCATCAGTCCGTGTGAACACAGGCTCACTTTCTTTTCACAAAGGGGAGGAGGAGGAGTAAAACATGGGATTCAGACTCATTTCCAACAAAGTCTAGGAATATCATCTATACATTTTAATGTACCGACAATAATTGAATAAGATATAACCAAGAAAAACTTTCTCAACCCACAATTTCACAAAGAGGAATGAAATATTTATATAGAGTATTCTTCAATATTATTCAGTGATTATGGTGTCAGAATCATAGATATTTTATTATTATAGACTACTATTTATTTCTTACATTCATTCTCTAACACTCTATTCATATTAACATTTATTAACAGGAAAACAATGTCATTTTTCAGTCATATATCTATCACATATATATGTACATATATATATGGATGGATATGTGATATTTCACAAGTAAAGCAATATGTTTTCCACAAGTAAAGCTTTATGACAATGACTTAATATATACACGGGAAGATAACAGCCTGCAGGGGATGCAGATATCTATTTACATCAATTAGGAGTGAACACATGACAGGAATGTAGGGAGGATTGCACGATGCGGAATGAGTGCTCATGTTGATATTCAAACAAAAAGTGCAAGTGGGTGGAAATTACTTTTTTTAAAATGCCATTTTAGTGCAAAAAACACCTGAATGGCCTTAAATGTTTGCTCTATAGACAAAAGCTACTGTTTATTTTTTCTACTCATCTATTACTACTGATTAATCAAATTATTGTCATGATTTCATGCATTTTCTATAGATATGGCAAACTGCTATGAACAATGTTAAATGACCCTGGTTTGTCATTTAATTGCAAATCAACATATTGCTTGCTTAGAGTATACACTTTAAAAAAAAAGATCATAATAAAAGCCAACTGATTCTCATTTGAAAATGTATTAATATGTCATTTATTTATTTTGCTATTATATTGATAGTTTAGCTGATACTTTCTCCAGTCTGTCTGCAGTTTGTTTACAGATTGTTTTATGGCACTTTCACGGTAAAGTCTGATCAGGAAAACTGTTAAGGTCCTGTTATTCTCCTCATTACAATAACTCATAATATAGGACATCTGTTTATGGCTATTTCCAGATTGTAATTTTCAGTCTAATCTATATCTATATATATTAAATTGTTTGTCGATATTCCACGCAACAGCCCTGACAGAGGTAACATTAATGATACTGTGCAAATCAGGCTACATGACTAAGTTTCCCTTTAAAAAGAAATAAACTGACCTCTCTTAAACAAATGGTCACTTTCCTATGGGTTTAACTAGTACTCTAAAATGTGCAAATAAATCTGGGGAGGAGAATTGAAAAAGGCAAACAACGACAATATCACTTGTGCACGATAATAACTACAACCACTTATAACTGTGCCTATTGTACAATACAACAATGATCTCCTATTGTTTGCTATTAGACATAATGCAATATTGCTCAAACAAACTGGATAGCAGAAGTATATCCTGATTGACAGAAAGATGGTTAGTCTTTAGGAAGGATGGTGTTAGTGTTACTGGCCGAAAGAGAGAGTGTGAGTGAGGGGGTGAGAGATGGGGGGTGAAGAGGAGCCAGACAATGATTGAGAGGTATGAAGAAGCGCAGAAAGGCGAGAGACGTTTCTACTGTAGGGGGTGGGGGGGGGTGCAGGAAGCGAGCGATGACAACAGTGTTGATTGCCGTTATGCTATGCCAGTCTATAATCCGGTGTTACAGCGTCTACGGGGGGGGGGGGGGGGGGAGCCGCCTACAAGTCGATGAGCTGGTCCACCAGCTGCAGAGAGCGGGCCAAGCTGGGGGGCAGGCTGGATTCAGAGCCGCCACTGTTACTGCGCGAGTGGCCTCCTGAAACTGGCCGGAGAGAGGGGGGGGGGGGAGACGAATACAGGCAAACAGAAGAGGAGGGGAGGGGAGGGGGAGCAGAAGAGCGGGAGTCACAACAAGCACGGCAGTAAAGGAGAGGGGAGAGAGGTCGAGAGAGAAAGAGAGAGGGCAGAATTTACCCATTTACATCTAAAACACTCTGAGGACGTTAAATAGATCCTGTAATGATCCTGTTAGCACTACGTTTGACTATTATGTTAATTATTTAGCATATCAGCATGCAACTGAGGGAAGACCCAATAAACACTTTGTATTTATTCCTAAAAAGCAACTTGACCCACTGGTGGAGGAGGTAAAGACTAACCTTGGGAGTTCTTCCGGCCAGTGACGGGGATCGGATCAAACTCGTCCTCCTGGTCCTCCTGGTCCTCCGCTGGGGCCGGCTGCAGCTCGAAGTCTGAGATCAGGAGAGACGAGTCTGCAGAGGACGAAGAAAGGTGGGTTGTTGATGTATAAGTCTTAAAGGGGCCCTATTATGCTTTTTTGGGTTTTCCATTTTTTTTAATATAGTGTGTTATATAGGTTTTTGTGCTTGTAAATGGTCTGCAAAGGCTTGAATCCAAAAGTTCCCCCCAGAGGGAGTTACTCTCCCACACACTCCCACCCTGTCTGAACACCTTATAGGACTCTTGTTTATTACCGTAACAGTGACATAACTACATAACACCCGTGATTCTATTGGCTAGCGCTCCAACACATTGTACGTGATAGGCTAAGAGGCGGGACATCTCTAAAAAGTTGAACAATCTCTACAGAGCTGGTTAGCTAACCAATCAGAGCAGACTGGGCTCTGGTTTCAGACAGAGGGTGAAAAGAGGTGCTGAAGCACAGGCCGTATGAGAAAAATAAAGAGCTTTTTGAACATTAAAGCACAATTTCACAGTAGAGGCACAAAATACGAATATAACCTTAAAAATGAGCATCATATGTCCTCTTTAAGAGCCCAGAAGGTTTTAGATTGGGAGTGAAACGTTTAGAATAAGGATCATTGTGGCGGATTCAAAAGAACATTGTAGAATAGATGATTCATCCAAACGTAGTTCAGGCTTACAATAAAATAACTCAATACCTTAGTCAGCATGAGAAACACTTTCATAAAATCAGCAGTGAGTGCACGAACACATCGGAAGCTCTTCAGTAGTTCAAAGATAAAACAATAAGATGCATCAGTAATAATTGGCATCATGCCAGGCTGTGATACAGAAAGTCAGAAGCCTTCATTCACCAGTCAAGAGCCAACAACTACGACACAGCTATGAAGAGCTCAATGTTGGACATCGAAAAAACACATATATGAAATATGCTTTTGAATTGTTTTTACCTGGCTTTAATGTTGAAACTGTATGAAGTTATGACAGATTGGATTATACATCTTTTTAAATCTGTGATGAAAATGCTTTTGCTGCCCCTTAGTGGTTTAAAATGTAATGAACAGAATTGTTGTCGTCTACTGTAGCATACAATTTAGCTCAGTAAACAACATGTGCTGTGTTCATCTTTGGGAATAAAATAATAACCCTAAGAAACCGAAGCATTTCTGATATTTCTCCAAAAGAAAGCAATATAATGGGAATAAACCAAAGTAAGTATGTTAGCCAAAATGTTGCAGAATTTCGTCCATAAATGCTTATACAATTATTTGTACTGAGTAACTTGCTTGTTCACGCGCTTAGTTTTTATGTCCTTAAATGCATTTTAATGTTTTATTAATGTCCTATGTGAAATGTTCTGAAATGCCTTCTGTTTTACATTTTTAAAAGCCTTGTTTCTGAATGATGCTCTATAAATTCAACTGTCTTGCTTCTGTGGAGAAACAGTTCTTGAGAATCATCGGGGCTCTTTACCCGTGTGTATAAACAAGTCTTCAGATGTGTACAGCTTACCTGCTACAGGCGGTGCAAAGTCCCCAGACAACAGACTGAAATCATCCAGAGCAGAGGCAGCGGAGGAGGGAGCGGAGGAGAGGGAGGAGGTGGTGCTGCTCGCTGCCGGGGGGGCGGAGGAACCGGAGATCAGAGAGCAGCCCAGGAGAGAGTCGTCTGTGGTGAGAGGGTCTGGAGGGGGCCGGAGGACATGAAGGTGAAGGAAGAAGAGGGAAAAGGTTTAGATATGGTTCAAGTGTAAAGAGAACAAGGAGAGATGACTTACAGAGATCCTGAGATGCATGCACTGACCCTTGGACTTATGTTACTTTTACAAATGAAAAGCTTTTATATTTCCAGACCTTTTAAACTCTTAGAAACAAAATATATGCCTGCAACGGAGTGCACACACACACACACTCATGCACACACACCTTTTTCAGCCACTTCCACAGAGCCGCCGAAGGGATCAGACAATGACAAGAGGTCCTGAAGCAGGAGTGAAGATGGTTCTGGAGAATTGAGTCCTTCTATCAGCTTTTCTGGAGGCCAATGAATAATAAGAGACGATAAATGAGACATATTTGAGCAAAGTGCAATACAAATATCAGTTACAGCTACACATTTAAAAACCCATTTGAAATACTACCGGTATAGCAAACAAACAAACAACTGCTAAGAGTGTGTACTATACAGACGGATATTTAGTCTAGAGCCAGACTTGCTGCTGATCATGCACTTATAATTAAATATTTATTCAACGTTAATTCACTTTGCTAAGGACTATCAACAAATGCTTTTTCAGGTATTGAAGATTTTGGAAGTAACATATCAGGATTTTGTTTTCTGGCTTGTCATGAATGAATACTTATGTATATGGACAATATTTGTACACAATACCAACAAAGAAAAAGACTACAAAGGGGTGAGGTTGTGTGTGTACCATAAATCCACAGAGAGATGTTACCTGGTGTATCTGACAGATCGAGGATACTGAAAGGATCTGGGACAACCGGCTGATAGGCTCCTGAATCCACATCAACAAGGTTTGATGGTCTTTCAACTAGGAAACAGAAGAAGTGTTTTACAGCAAAGACTTTTAATCCATTACGAATCCTAACAGCATTATGGGAGGAAGCAGATTTCTTTGTTGGTGTCTTTCAATAAAAAGGGTCCAAACTTCTGGTTTTAAGTCATAAATAACTGAGGGCAACAATTGAATGTGACATACCATTATCTTGGGGTGTATCCACAGTTAAGTCCAGCAGGCCTGGTATCAACTCCTCTGTGGATGGAGGCTTAGTTTCTAAAAGTAAATCTGAAAAAAGGAAATTCCCAGTTATGAATCAACAACACATTTAAAAAAAAACACACACATGCACACACAGTAGCACTGATGATAGTACCTGTAGGCTTTTTGTCCTCAGTTTTGAAACCATCTGCAGAGAGGTTGGAAAATGTATCATCGTCAAATGGGTTCCATGCAGGTTGTGAGGCGGAGTCGGTGGTCTCAGCAGGGGGTCCAGATTTGTTCTGGTCCTGGCCCCCATCAACAACACCAAAGTCAACAAGCTGGGCGGTACTGGGTGGAGATGCAAGTGATCTACAGGTAAAGAAGGGTCATAAGATAAGATCATAAGTAAAGGAAAAAGGCTTGATTTGAGGTTTCTCTTCAGGTGTATTCCAGTAGGGTCAACGCACTGGTTGGGGGCAGCGTCTGCATTAGCTCCCTGCGGCTGCTGCGAGGAGTCGCTCACAGGAACTCCAGCGACGCCGCTCACTGTGACATCACTCGGTTTGGCGTCACTCGGTGTGCGTTGGTGGCCTCGCTCTTCAGTTGTCTTTGGAGAGGAAGGAGGAGTCTGATCACAAGAAGCAAAACACAGGAGATCAGGAAACAGTCTATAGAGGGTCTCACACGTAACTTAAAGTGTCACAGACAAATGGGTTTCAATGTTTGACAGAAATGTGTGGAAAATTATTGGAATCAAGTTTTTCAGTTTGTGTGTACAGACAGAGGGATGTAACGTTTCCCAGAATTCCTGAGGAATACAAAATAAAATATGTATACAAATATGTATACACATGTGTTATTCTCTGTCAAAGCGTCTTTGAGTGTTTAGAAAAGCGCTATATAAGTGTCATGTATTTTTATTATTACACATATATATATATATATATATATATATATATATATATATATATATATATTTGTAATCTTTTTTCTCAACTTTTTTTTTATTGTATTGAGACATATTAAAATATTAAGATTTTTGAAAGAGAAAAGAAAGAGAAAGAAGAAGAAATGGAAACAATTGATGGATATAAGAATAACCAGAACACTAGGCCATGCTGCTAAAACATTGCACACATAAAGTTAAACTTCTTTGATTCTGACTGCTCTTCGCTCTTCGATGTTCGACCATGTTGAAGCTGGATAGTGTGCAGAACTCACCGTCTCAGCTGTTTTCGGGCTGCTCTCAGAGGAGGCGGGCTGAGCCTGGGCAGCTGATGGCGGAGTTATCTGCTGCTGCTGAGAGACCAGCGGCTGACCTGGGGCCTGTTTGACGGGGGAAGCCTGAGCCGCTGGCTGCTGAGCCTGCTTACGCCGAGCGGGACGCTGAGGAGCGGCCGGGCTCGATGGAGCGGCCTGCTGGGAGGGAGTGCTGGCTGAGGGGGGGGGGGTGGTCTGCTGCTGAACTATGGGCTGTGCTTGGGGTTCAGCCTTGGTCACTGGAGACACCACTGCTGCTGCTGCTGCTGCTGTGATCTCTGCGGCTGGCTGCACCTGCATCACACACAGATACACTCTCACACACTGCAAACCATCTTAACTGAGATGGTGCCCAAGGTCCCACAGCAACTGTACATTTATATTTGTGTAGGGCTGACATTTATGATCATTTTTTCTATATATATAATTTTTATCAATTTATGATTGATGCCCATCACAATTTCCCAGAGAACAAGGCTACTTTTTGAGCTCATTTTACAGTCCAAACTCTAACTAGATAAATGACTTTAACAATTACCAACATTGTAGCACTTTATTTTGTATCAATCTACTTATGTATGAATTAACAGCACTTGTGTGAAGAAGATCATTGCTTAAGAATCCAAACACAAAAAGCCAGACATGCATTATACGTCGCTGGCGATGCTTGTTCCTGTTTGTTTTTTTCCACATTTGTCTACGGATAATTTTCCATAGTTATTAATAGACCCCTGTAAACTCCTCTGTCAGTGTAATTCAGTATGTACCTGCTTCTGTGGAGCTGCAGCCTGATTTGAATTGTTTTGCGGCTGGACGATTGGCAGGACTGAAGTCTGAGCCTTCTGTGACTGCAGAGCTGCAACCGGCTGAGAGAGGTTCAGACTGACTCCTGGGGGGTGTTGAAAAGAGCAGAGACTACAGATTACTCAACAGCATGGCAACATGTATCAATTTCAATAATTATAATATATAAAATTAGAGGAAAACGGTATGAACTCAAAGTGTGTGGAAAATCATTCCATAATCACTTTGGGCCTGTGGTCACTTTAACCTGCCTACTTGATCTGTTCCTGTTGAGGTTGCAGTATCAATGTGTGCACAAAGGATTCGAGAGATTTCTGTCTGTATGCACATCTTTATTCATCAAAAGTTCAGCTTCGTTTACCCATGACAGAGAGGAGAAAGGACAGAGTGCAGTACGTACCCACAGGCTGAGCTGCACCAGCAGGGAGATTAGCCCGCTTGCGAGGGGTGAGAGCAGCCGGCTGGATGGGGAGGATGCCAGCGGCGGACTGCGTATGGGCGGCTTTGGGCCTCTGGCGGGGGGTGATGGAGGTCTCAGTGGTGGGAATAGGATCCGTCAATCTGGCAACAAAAGGAGCATGTTGGCCTTCTTGTTAATCATGGCAAATAGTGTTAGTATAATTATTTAATGAGTATCAGAATACTGACTGAACCTATTTACTTCAACAAAATGTCCTGTTACTACAGCTTTAATGGTGGTACAGTGTGAGCATGCTTGCCTGGGTTTAGCCTGGTTCTTCTTTGCTGCTGCAGCCTCACTCGCTTTGATTGGCTCAGGAAGTTTACAGGGAATTGGAGAATTCTGGATAATGGAAAGAAAAACAAAAACATTTGAATTGTTTGTTGAATTTCCACAAGAGAACTGTAGTAGTGACAAAGGAAAATATACAATTAGACAATAAAAACCTCCCAATTCAGCAGTAACAATAAAGACTATTTCTACTGTTTGCAACGGATGAATTAGTGCAGATTTTCCTCCCTCACTGCGACAACAAAGTCAATTCCTGATGAGAGCAAGACAAGCATTTCCAAATATTTCAGCTGACGCGGTGCTGAGAGAGACTGACCTTCACATTCTGGACAGGGCAGGTCCGCTGAGCTAGTTTAAAAGCAAAGAAGGAGACCTGGTAGATGTCAGGTCTTTTCTCTTGGTCTGGCTCCAGCATGTACCCTGAAAAACAACCACGAGGAAGCAACTCAAAAAGCTTCACTTGATATTCCTATTTAAACAAAAAATGCATGCCTTTTTTAAACTGAATTAGTTGTTTTTGAAAACATTAAAAACACTTGAGAAGGACTAACGAATGAGGCAGTGCAGATCATAAGAGTAGCGGGAGTTGTCTGGAATGGTGAAACTGCCATCACAGATGGCCACCTGGCTTTCACCAAAGGGCAGAGTGAAGAAGCACACTTTGTACAGCAAACAGCCCAGAGCCTGGAGAAACAACCACATGCCCCGTCACACCACACAAAGACAGGAGGAGAGGAGAGGGAAATACTTAATAATACAATTAATACACAATAAGGTACAAAAGAAAACCTTTGTCTCTCTAAATACCAGCTGTTAACATTTAAAAAAAACTGTGATTTCAGTCAAACATGTTAACAACATGACTGAATCTAAAACATCTGCGCCCTGCTGTAACAAGCCTACAGGTTTAATATGTTATCGTTATGTCAAACTAAGGTTCTACTGTAAAAACTACAGCATGAATGATTGGTATTATTTTCTCGGAGTATAATAAAATCAATACTTTGATCCTGTTTTACATGAATGGAGGCTACGGTGTTTATTTTAAAAGATACTGTATGTGCGTGCGTTCTTATCATGGATATCACAATGGTGTGCCCTTACTCACCCAGACATCTGATTTTGTAGTGATAATCTGGTTATTGTAGAGGTTCACCATCTCAGGAGCACGATATGATAAAGTTGTGTACCTGAAGGAATACATTAACAACAAAACAAAATAAACTACCGGTTTAATGTGTCAGTGAAGAAGAATTACATAGTTCCATCTGCTCATAGATGCACTTTAATGCAAATAAAGTTAATTATTATATCCATTACTAATTACATTTACATCACACTAAGCTTGTTTTGCACAAATGTGAAAATATAAACTGTGCCATGCAGAACCCTGCAGTCCATAGTTGAAATTCAATTATGAATCTTTAACAAAACTGCTCATGATTGAAAAACTGCTGACCGTTTCTGTGAGGCTAGACCTAAAAGGAATGCTAATGAATGAAAGCTGCAGGGGCAAAACTAGATGAAAAGACGCACTAACTTTTTGATCTCTTCCTCCACGACGGCCACTCCTTCAGTCTGAGGGCTCTGGAACTTGTTGGTGGCGCTGCCAAAGTCACACAGCACATAGTGACCCTTGTCATGCAGGAGGATGTTCTCCACCTGACAATCAAATGAGGAAAAGGGATGGAAAACACTGTTAGGAGGCAGAGCCGTTATGCTCCAATACAGTCGGACACACAAACTACTCAACTTTTCAGGTTTTTTTATGTAATTCTAAAAGACACCACTGCAATAAAAAGTAGTCTTGCCATATGGATTAAATCCGCTGAGTGACAGTAACCTAAAATGACTGCGACAGACACGCTGCAGTTGACAGCGCTCAGCAGAAACGGAAAGGTTTTGGGAGCATTTTGACAAGTGACAATCTCCTCTCCCCTCCTGTTAGAGCTCTGCATAATTAAACACAGCTTCAACTCACATATATCAATCATATTGCTTCAAATACTCAGCATGGTGATCTTCAGTAGGTGTTGCCTTGGTTTTAACGCCGGGGCAACACACTGCGAAGAATAAAAATGGCAAAATGTATCACCTTAAGGTCTCTGTGGATGATGGGTGTCTTGCGCTGGTGCAGGCGAGAAACAGCATCACACGTGTCACAGAAGATCTGCAGCACCTCAGCCTCAGTGAAGCCGGTCTGCAGCCTCTGATTCATCAAATTCACCACCTGTCCCCCTGCGAAACAATATCACATTATACAGCGTCAAAAACACAATCACTGGTATATAATTGAACCTCAACTTGTGTTTTTTATTCTGTGTAATTACTGATAATGGACCCAAACTCAAATTCTTTCAGTATTCTTAAAGAATTCCCCCCTCAGCACTCACCCTTGCAGAAGTCCATAAGAATGAAAACCTCCCACACATCCCTTGATCCCATAGCAGTAATGCTGGAGTCCAGATAACCAACAATATTCTTGTGACCAACAAGGTCTTTCTGCAAGGACACAAATAGGCATTAAAGAGCATTAATAAACCGCGGTTCATAAAGGTTTTACCAAAAAGCACAACTACTGCTAACCTGCATCAAATGTGACTACTAGTGAATGAAAGCATTTCACAAGGGCTTGATTCATTCTTCAGAAAGGTTGCCACAAAAATGACTAAATGATACGCAATACAACAAAACGATGGACGAGGAAGGAATACTTCAATATTGTTTTTCTGCATAGAGGTAAATAAGAAGCCGTCACACATTTAGTTTAATCTGGCCAGTGTTTTACGATGCAGTGTGAGGCCATCACCTGCAGAGGGAGTTGCAATGGAGAGCAACATCAGGGACCTATTAGGTAATGAAAAAATGTCAAGTACTGCAGATGGGGTCTGTCTGTCAACGAGTGTGAGCATGCGTCTGTGTAAGTGAGAAAGCGAGTGAGGAGAATGAGAGGTAAAGAATGTCATGTGAAGAAGATAAATGACATCAGATATCACTTTAGAACATTTTTTTAGGGTCTTTTAGTTTGATTTAATAAGAAAAACTAGGACCTACAATAAGTTGCTAGGAAGAATTGCATGTAATACTGATGAATGTTTACACAATCAGCCATTTGTATGTAATCGGAGCATCCATTTCTTCCTTCCTTCCTGTGTGGTCCTTCAGATTTAAAAGAACACATTATGTGTTTGAACTAAATTAATGTAGAAGTACAGTCACAAAAAAATGCTTCGAAAATAGAAAATAACCGTTTTAAATTGCTTATAGATAATGTAAATGTTGTAGTAGGGTACCATGATATACGTTAGTCACTATAAATCCTGAATCTGCTGCTCTTGCTCTTTTACCAGGTCAAGAGGTCAGGCTATATGGGACTACTCTTCTTTTATTACCTGCGTGTTGTCCATGTTTTGTACATGAAATGTATAGAAGGGACAGCTTTATGTTATTTTATACAAGTAACCCGGCAGCATGCCTTAAAGACCCTGTGTAGGGTAACAACCAGAGCTTCAGGACCTTTGAACAATCTCACTGATGAAAGGTGTTCATGGAAATAACCCCTTTGACTCATTTCACAAAACATCTCAGGGGGAGAGCGGAACATGTAAGACAGCACTATGAAAACAAAAACAAATCCCACCAAGAACCAGATGAATCAATACAGAACGGACATATAAACAGCGCTGCAGGCTGTGTGTGTTCTGAACCCACTTGTTCTTTGGATTTCCTGACAGCAGAGCTTCAATGTTTGTCGACAAATTGATCAACGTCAAAATAATAGCCAACCATTTTGATAACCGATAAATAAATAGATAGTCAAAAATGGAGATTTCCTTTGACATTAAACTATATATCTTTGGGTATTGGACTCACAAAATAAGCAGTTCTCTTTTCTGCTTTTCTAGAGAAAAGGGAACCTGTACATGTAGATATCGTGTTTATTTCCAGGCACAATTTGGGTTTGACATTGTTTAGTTGTTGCTTTCACATGTGGTTTCGACCCTGATGGCAGATCACATGAGAACTGTGTGAGCACAAGCAGGGAAATATTGAATCAACTCACCATTATTTGTATCTCGCACTTGCACACCTGCAAATCATGCTCATTGTTGACATACATCCTCTTCAGGGCGCAGCGCACCCCTTGATTTGTTCGCACCAGGAACACAATTGCAAAGCCACCTGTAGGGATGAGAAAGAGAACATAAAGAAATGTCACAACCCCGAAATCTAGATGCACACTAAAACATTATTGCCAGGTTCAATACAAAATGTAAAAGAGATATGGGGAATTCCAGCATCACAGCATTGTCACAAGTTTTCTTTAGTGCATTTTGGAAATGTAGCTGAACATTTTACACCCAATTACTTCCACAACTGTTGTAATCTGGGTTTGGACATCAAAAAGGATAATCAGGACCAAATGGTGCAGCCTTATAGCGTTATATATTAGTCATAGCGTTGCTGCAGGGTTTACGTAGAGGCCTACATTGAGGCCTAACCATCTGGTATAGCTCAGACCACAAATTCACTTTGCCGAGTTCACTTGTGACAGAGTCATCAGTTTCAGGCAGATATTGCGGTTATACTGCATCCTCTCTTCGACCAAAGTGAAATAGTATTGTATGGGACGGTAGCTCTATCACACTTTGTCTCATGTTGCTGTCGGTATTGAAGGGCAAGTAACTGTAATTGACAAACTATTTCATTATTTTGTTTGTTTATGTTTTGAGTAAGGGGCAGGCTAAATAACATTTTTCTTCTCCCTGCTAGACACTTATAACCAGGTGTTTTCTTTGGTTGATTCTAGGGCTTTGCATACTGTAAAGGAGATGTAATTACCTCACCCTATGGTTAAGAAGATTATGTTCAATCAAAATGCATGAGAGTAAAGGAATGTCTTAGTTTGACAATAGCAGGTTCATCACTGCCATATTCTCTCATTTAATTGTTACTGTACTCATCTTAGCACATATGCTACTATTGGCTTACATGATGCTCAGATAAACTGTAAAATAGAAAAAGAAGAATACCAAATTCCCAGGTTTAAATGGTGAATAGTTGCTTTTTAATCAAGTACATGCCTCCACGTCACTATCAGTAAATGTGCTGCTGATGCCAAACAGTCATACCATCAGTATCTATTAAGAAATACAACAATTGCACTACACATTAACCCTTCATTTATTCATATAAAAGGGGATACAATAACTGCTCTTTCTGCACCAGATAGGTATGCACATTCTTGAATCACACTTCTGATTCATAAAACAGGAAACAGTTGTGTTAGTCAGTGTGAAGCTGAGAAAGGCAGAAGGCCTCTTTTTGCATTAATGCATCATGCCTGTGGGGATGGCATAAGGTTACATCCCGGCCTGCCCTGTGATTCAAGTATTTGGCTTGCGGGACACACATCATATTCTAAATTGAACCTCATGCATTTAAATATATAGGGATAGAGGTTACAATAAATGGCATCATTCGGCCTGTGCAACCCCTTCTCACCTTCAGCAATGATCTCCTCCACAGTGACTTGGTGCCGCCCGACAGTGAAGTTTCTGCCAATGAAATTTCCGCCTGCATGACTGGACCCCGAGCTGCCCCCCCCTCCAGAACCGGGCCCGGAGCTCACCAACTCCCGACGGGAATCAAAGAACTTCCTCATGTTGTCAGGCTGACAGGAGGTGTATCAATCACTCAGATGAAGGGCTTGTTTCCTGTGCACTGAATTATTGCACTGATATATAAATGCTGGTCAGAATGTGCACCTAAAATCGGACGAGTCTACTTTTAGTCTCAAACCATGCAGGGATGCCTTTGTCACTTGTGATTTTGACAGATTTGTTGGTTGCAGATCCCATTTGCTTGCCAAACACAAGCCAGTTGGTGATAGCTAGAGCGGTTGCGACTCGCTTGTTATGTAAGTGAATTACACCACCCAGGAGGCTAAAGCATCTCCGGAGAAAGTCTTTCTTTAGCTATCCATCCAGCTGTTCATGGTCGGCTGCTGATGATGATAACATTAGCTCCTTCTCCATCTCGTCCAGCCATTACAGAGCTAGCTAAGTGCTAGCTACTTAACGCGCTATGACATTTCGTGTAAGGTTATCCAGGTTATCCTCTGAAGATAATGTCTTATGTTGCGATGTATCCGACGTGTGACTTGTGTGTTAGCGATACCTGGAACAATCTTTCCATCCTCAGTCAAGTGAAGCCGCCTTTGGATGGCACATAGCTGCCCGTCGAGCTATTGAATTGCTCCCATTTAGATTAAAACTGTGATTTTGTTGTAAGCTAACGTGTTAGCGCCGCTGCAGCCTTTGACAAACACAAGCACGCGCGGGGTCGACAGACAACGTAATCCTCCGTCTGATGCGACTGCAGATCAAAAACACACAATTTGACATCTACCAAAACGTTAGGCAGAGGTTTCAACCCAGCAGCCTAATCTCTGCAACCACAGCAATCTTTGGCTGCCAGCGATATCGCAACATCCTAGCTGTTGCTGTTGACGCACGGACGGAATTCTGGGTATTGTAGTTCAGAGCGAAGCTGCAGCCTCCCCTCCCCCTAGCGAATGTGGTCATATGGGGCGTTCAAGTCCTATCGCTCAGCCCGGAAATACGACTAGTAAGGGAAACCTTTAACACGCTTTAACACTAGTTCAGTTCGGTTATCAGTAATAACAGTGGTGGAAAGCAACAAAGTACATTTTCTCAAGTATTGTACTTTTTTGAACATTTGTACTTTTACTTCTTTCGAGTTTTTCCATGTATTGCTTGTTTATACTTATGCCCCACTACATTGTACTTTTTACTCCACTACTTTATTTTAACACAAACAGTTACAAGTTACTTTTGTTTCACTTGTGTCTCTCTAAAAATGTGTATCAGAATAAAGCTTATTTTTATATTTTGTGAAGAGAAATACTAATGTAAAAGAAGATATTAAATTAAATACAAGTAATAAGGGTAAAAGCAGCATAATCAATGAAGAAAGCTGCCCCTGTGACTGATATCAATTATCTATTACATCAGTAGATTATTGCCACTTAAGCAATAAAGAAAAAGCAGGATTTTAACAATATGTATATGACTGCAGCTGATGATTGCTTTATCATGTACTGTCACTCTGACAACTCTTGCCCATGTTGAGACCGACTTCCCAACTCTGAAACATTTTAGCAAAACCAAATTACCACAATAAGGTCTGTGTATTTAAAAAAAAAAAAAGACTGATTAACTATATAGGTTCATTCAGCACAGGCTGTTTATAATAAGAAACATATTTATGAAACAATCCTCGGAGGGTTCATGGAAGGAAAACACAGCCATAAGTTAATTACCAAATTACAGTTTAATTGTAATCTTACTATATATACTTGCTGCTAATGCTAATGTTGAATTTGTATTGTATTTGTTTCCTTCTTTCTTTCTTTCTTTCTTTCTGTCTGTCTGTCTGTCTGTCTGTCTGTGAGGGATTTGATCTCACAACCTTCTGTGGAGCAGCTTCTCCTCCAGTTTAACTATCGTGAATCTATAACGAGATCTATTTTTTTTAACTTTTTTAACAGTTTATATTACAATACAAAGCTAACATTACAATAAATGGTTTTGATTGGTTATCTTTAAGTCTTTTTCAGACACCCTTACTAACATTATTTTTCTAGCTTTTAATTTGAGTCCATGCGACCTTACCCATCAAGGGGTTTTAATGGAATAAATGAATTATTATATATATTTTATGTTTCAAACTTTATTGAAGATGATGAGTTTAATCGCCAAAAATGGTCCAATGGAGAAGGACGCTGACCTTGGGTGGTGAGACGCGGGTTTGAACCCCACCTGAGGTATTCGACACAGTGTGTGTGTGATGAGTGAGTGTGTGTGGGGGGGCTTCAGAAACAATAAACGTGCTCAAAAACCAATAACCAACAATTTCAAATACTGCAATTAAAATCGTTGAATTTAAGTTTAATTTCAACTTGCGAATTTCAGAATTGACATCATCAAAAACATGAAGGAAGAGGAAGAAACCTAAAGTAGCCTACATCTACTGTAGCTTTGCAAGCTAGTTACTGTGGCTAAGCATTTGTAGTGTTTTTTTGTTATCACTTTAAATGAAAACTGTTAAGTTGCAAGTTTATTCTGCAGGTGAAGCCTACATGAGCTGGATATGTGACCTTTACCTCTATGATACATTTGCATTGCTTTTTTATATTTTGAATACGATCATCTTAATATTTAAATTAACCAAAGCAGTACATGTATCAAGGTAAAAAACTAAATTTCCTTTATATTTGTGCCGACATCCCGTGAATGCAGCAGTACCTTGTGTGACGTGAACTCTAAAGGCGGATCCTGTTTACAATTCATATCCAAGTGGGTGGGACATCAGAGAGCAGCTGTAAGTTATAAGGTTTAGTTTTCCGGTATACTGACACATTAACCTCTTGTCGAGAATCCCGCGAAGAAATTGGTCTTCAGCTCAGGTAAGGTGTCCTTCAGTTGGTCATGGTTCAGAGGGGTTTCATGAGCGGTAGTTCTGCGGTATGATTCGGCAGAAGAGCTCAGACAGTATCTGCAGGGTGTGCCCACTAACTTCATGCCAAGTTAACTGTTAAACTGCTCAGTGCTCCGCTTCCTGAATCACTTTAATGTAACTATTTGCATTTGAATAACTATGGTGTGGATTTTTAAGTATTTTGGGAATACATTTCATTTACAGTTATAACTTGTGATACATAATTATAGGGTATATGTTTTTTAGCCTTAGCTTTTAGTGTACAGAGGACTATCCTTTCCTATTATTGCTCAATTTCAAACGAACTTGCTGACGTTAGATATAATCACTTGCTTTGAAATAAGAAAAACGGTAAACCTGAATACTAAATGACTAATTTGAGATGCCCACTATTAAGAAATCAATTGTGTATATATCCCATATAGCCAATGTTAATAACCTTAAAGCCCTACAAATAAACAGTGTTCACATTTCAAACTTAACTTGATACACTATTTGTATACTGCTATGTAACTGGAGCTACAGTAATAACAGGGTTAGTGCTTGTGTTTGTTCAGATGAAGAATTCACAGTGTTAACGTTGTGCTTTGGAAACACGATTCACTTTGTGTTTATGTACGGTCTGTGATCCATACACATGGTCTGAAGTGTTTGTAGGAGTCACCTGCCTGTATTTACATCACAAACCACTCAGGTGTGCCTCTGCTACTCACAGACTTCTGGACACTTTGTTCAACAAGAACATGTTGACTAGAGTCTTATTTTTGTCTATAATAAGCAACTTAAACTTGTAATATGTTTGAGCTGAGGGTATTCTTATACCCAAAATGCACTTTGACAAATAAATGAAATATAGGGTAAGTTGATCCCTACCTGCAGGAAACGCCACTATCTGATCCCTCAGTGGAGTAATTACAGGTGTGTCTAAACAAACACCAGCTCAATGATACTACCCCTGAGACGTTGAACGGTTGTGGAACAAAAGAGAGCCAATGACCAAATTAGTTTGACAGGAACCCTCTGAGAGGATGCACTGCATACAATATTGATTGAGGTGAATGAGGGTCACCAGTTAACTGACCCCTAACCTGCAGTTCATTCGTTTTTTGTGTTATTAACAGGTCCTTGTGCAAGTGACAAATTATCATCATGTTTTTATTCTGTTGTAGCTTTCTGCACCTCCAGTTTGAAAATCCTCACTCTTCTTACAATGGCAGCGGTAAGTCCGACCCACAGCATCTGTTTCACATTTACATGTATTTGCATCACCAGTAGAGACTGTGCTTTGGAGATTGGATTGTTTTGTTCTGCTTGGTTGTACATATGGCTGGACAAGCCATACATATTAAAATTCCTTATCTTTTATGAAAATTCCTTGTAATGATATTGCAAGTTTGCGATTCACATTTGCTACTGCAACCGGCGATACAAGTTTTAGGTCTGCTGTCATGTTCATTTTATAGTAAACCTAGACACAAACCATGGTACAAATTATATCAATATTTAAATGTCAAGGTTGCATTCTTATTTTCTTTTATTCATAATACAACTTTGCAGTTTTCTTTTAATACATGGGCAAAAGTTAGTTGAAAGTCTCAAAAAAAGAGTTTGAAGCTCCTAAACTTTGTCCTGCTTTTTAAAATATAAAACGCATTTCTTTCTGACACATAAAAAAGGATACTACTTTGTACTTGCATAATACTATAGCATCATAGATGTTACTTTGCCTCAAAAGATCCTCTCCAGATGTTAATAATACATATAAATGATCTGCTTTGAATAATTATTAGTCTATTTTTCTCATAAGCACCTCTTTTCCTTCCTACATTTCAAAAGTGAAACTACTTTGCACAAGGTCTCTATAAAGTTAGCTGAAAAGTTCATTCTTAGAGAAATCACCACACTTTGAACTCTGTTTAAGCTGCAAAGTTAGGGCAAGAAAACGTTCTCTTTTCAGCAGAAACATGTGAAAACAGCCTTTAGTGTTCAACAGCACATCATTCTGCACTGGGAAGGTCAAACAGCATGTGAAGTAATAATAAGAAAAACACATTTTGAAGTTTTCACTGCTGATTTTATTAATTTATCAGATTGGAAACCGTGGAACAGTGACTGAGGCGGCTGGTTTCGACCCAGATGCAGATGTCCAGGCTCTCAGAGGAGCCATGAAGGGAACCGGTGAGTGATCCAGAAACCATCATCAGATGAAGACATCTTGAACCTGTCATTAAGCCTCCATGGGGAAAAATATGTATTTTATGCCTCTCTCCTCTCCAGGAAAGTCTGAAACCAAACTCAGTGTTGCTCAGTGTTGTCATGGCAGCTTTCTGTTTTTATAGCCCATTCATTCAACTGAGTAGTGCTGTGTACTTTGCCTCATCTCTACTCTCTGTTGTAAAGCTTCCTCTTCACTTCTGATATGGAGGGAAAATTAATCTGGACTTTGCTGATCATGCAGTAAGAAATAGTGAACTAATCTCATTATGGGTTGCAGTTCTGAAACTATGCATCACTCAAAGACAGTTGTGCAAACATTCAGGAGTACACAACTAACCTCATATCTTTCTCTGTCTGCACATTTGAAGCCAGGAATGTTGATGCTGTTAGAGTTCCGTTAGAATAATCATCTTCCCCTGACTCTTGTTGAGCTCTATTGCAAACAGATGGTTTGTTTGCCGATGCCAACAAACAGCTGAGTGTTAGGATCATCTCCAGGGATGAGAGCTTGTTCTTAAACTGAGCTCCAAGAAAAGTTGTTAATGATTGTACAAGTTGAGACATTTAAAATGAATATTAGTATAAGATTTGTGTTTTATTCATTTCAGGCACTGATGAAGCAGCTGTCATCCAGGTCCTAGCCCCCCGCACTATTGCCCAGAGGCAGCGCATCAAGGAGGCCTACAAACAATCAGTGGGGAAGGTGAGCGTTTTCACTGAGCTGTACTCAAAGGCAGCACATTAGGTTCAATTAGGTTAAATAAGGCTATTCATGAATAGGTTAT